CGGTGTTGTCGACGTAGCTGAAGGTCCTCTCGAGCTTGCAGCCATAGCAATAGCATTATACCATAGTTGAATTACGGAAACGTAAGCTTTCTTCAGGTAGATGAGTTTTGCAGGTTTCCCTCGGCACAGTGCTGACGATTTTTCCAAGATAAGAGGTCTTCCTTTTTCCAATTACATAGCTCAGAAAAAGCTGAGCCGATCAGCAGACTCCATCTGGTACTAAGGATGATTTCATCAGGAAGAATGCCAGCATGCTCAGCACGGAGGCCGGAAGCTTGCAGACATGAGTTGGTGCAATCCCAAGAGGTCAAAGTCCTTACGTAGAAGCCTGCATGCTTGCTAGCATTATTGTTTTTGCAGGTTCCTCAGTCTCAAATTCTTGTCATAACATACCGCAAGAATCCTATTCGAATCAGTAGGGCCCCTATATCAAGCTCTTTTAGTTGAAGTCACAGTATGTTGGATCTTGTGCCTCCCGAAGCAGTGTTAGTGCTAGAAGGTTTGGCCAGGGTTTCCTGGGCAGGCCAAAGATCTCTTCAAAAATATGGGTGCAGAAGACCAGCGTCGAGTGGTGCCAGGGCCTGGGCAATGTGAGAGTGCGCTCAGGTGCACGTGTTGTTGACATCCTCCGCGGTCTCTTCTTCAAAGCTATGTAGAAGCATGCGTAAGTAGTCGTTCTATTCCTTGAGGCTCTTTGTCACCAGTAGTTATGGTGTACTATACCCCAAAACCCCAACAGCCTGTTCGAAGTATCAAGGCCCCTGATTTTGGGCTCTTTGTGCAGCGGCCCCACTAAGGAATTCGGGCCCTTTGAACATCTACCGTGACACCATGGCCATGTTCAAGTTCCGGGTCGGGGACCTCAGGATTGTATCATCGGGGCTCTTTAGGGTTTAGGATTTAGGGTTGAGGCCTAGGCTTTAGGGTTTAGGGCCTTTAGGCTTAGGACTTGTAGGATTGGGGGCTCTGAAATGCGATTCGGTGGGATGTCTCAGCCTTTGTAAGTCTCCCTGTTCCTCGGGCTAGGTTACCAGGTTGGGCGTAGAGGAAAGCAGCACATTTTCGACATGGGCGATCAGCGCCAAGTTTGCTTGTTACTGGGGCGCGACGGGTCACGAGCACGACTGCTGTTGCTCTACTACTGTGCTGTAGCGTCGCAGTGTCGCACGCCGAAAAGTGCCTTCAATTATCTTTTCGAGTGCCTTGCAAAGGCCAAGGGTTAACAACTTCAGTGCCACATCCCATGCTTGTCATCCACAGGGTCGGACTCTCACATCATTCGCTGCATATTTGCTGGAAGCTAAGCTGCAATCGTGTGCAACATAAGTTCAATGAAGCCGGCTTTTTGTCGGAACAGGTGGCCATCAGCCGGGAGCGCGAACAGGAGATCGCAGACCGAAAAGGCCAGGGAATTGGAAGCAAGGACACAAGATGTATGCAGCCATCTAATAAGATCGTTTAGAGCTCCCGAGTGTGGCTTACTGGATGTCTTTTTCACCAGTCCTTAGCATGTCAAGTTCGGTTCTCACACGCCTCGTGTGCCTGGATTCGAACCCTCTCCGGGCTACCGGGAGCCCTGCCCCTGCACGAGTTGTCCCAGATAGTCCTGGTCGCTCGTCCTGGTCCTGAGTGATCTGCTGGAGCGCCACGGCCTTCAACTGCTCGCGTTCAAGTGCACATGTAGTGCGAATGCTTACTCCTGTTATACAAGAAGCCATAAGCCCTCGTGCCAGACCTTGCAAGCCTGAGCCCTCTAAGCCTAGACCAAGCCTAGACCCCCCGAAACCGTCGAATGTATAGAAGCCTAATTCATTTCTGGCTCTTTTCCTTGCGAGGTGGTGACTTCGTGGCGAAGGAGGCCTCGGAAGCCGAGGCAGGGGATGTCCGATCTCAAGGTCGGGTGATTGTTTAGGGTTTGCTTTACCATCGCATTCTCGGGTGGGGTTTAGGATGTACGATTTAGGGTTTAGGGGTTCAGGGCTTAGGGGTGGGGTTTAGGGCCAAGTTGAGGGCTAGGGTTACGTAAGGACTATAGGAGTTTGCATAGTTAGTCTAGTTGTAGTTGCTTAAGCTAAAGGGTTTGCTACAAGTAGTTTGGGAAGCAATCTTTCCCGATAGTCCCTGTACAGTTCTACTGTATTATACAAGATAACCCCCAAACCCTAGCCAGACTCCTTGTTATTGCTGTAGCCTGCAATGTGTGGGGGATGTCGAAGCTTGACGTGCGGATTTCACAAATGCGCCGCCCCTTCCGCCGTCACAGGTGATTGGGTAACATGCTGATGGGAGTATCATCGCCATTGTAGGCTCAGGCAGGCCCCCCCACAGAACAAGGCGTAGGGCGAAGGTTAAGAGTGTAGGTGCCAATGTTGTCTATGGGTCCTGTTTTTCCAGGCCTTTTTCAGAGTCGCCAGCCATGGCTGCCGCCCCGCAAGATGAGCACAAGGCATCTGCAGACATGGCTACTACCACAGCTTCTGACACTCTGACATGAAACAGGGAGGTAGTGCTGTAAATCAGGGGTCACATATGTCACCACATACGTCACGCTCAGCAGTTAAGAAACAGGTTTCTGTTACCTGTGCAATTGCCATTGCTGCAGACTCAAACCCTTATGGCTTGCATCGCGAATCACTGTTGGCAAACTTGTCTGCGGGCCATTTTCCTTTGGACGAGTAAATTTGGCTGTTCCCTGTCGCCGAAGAGAGCAGTGACAGCTTGGCTTATCGTCTTAGTTCTGTTTGCGTCTTCTGAACTTGACACTGTCACCTTCAGACTAGTCACTGCTGTCGTATTCGCTGTCCGCATTCATGAAAATAACCACTGTGCTGCACTTCCTGTCGTTGCATGGTTGTTCAGCAATCCGTCATGTGCGGACCCCATGTGTTTGCTGTGCTTCTCGGCTATCTTTCGCTGCTACTGATACTCATCATCATCCTCTGCATCAACACCGCAACAGGATGAACAAGTGACACCAGCAGCGTCAATCTCCTATACGGTTCGATAATGGTAACAAATATAGGAACGAGAAGAATGATACTGAATAAATCGTAGTAGACAAAGAATGGCAACGACAGGCATGCCCTGGGTTCAACAAGAACACTATCAGAAGAATGACAATAACAGCCGCAAGAACATGATCATCAGTCGTTTTTCTAGCCTCGATTCATCATTCGTTTTTCTAGCCTCGATTTGGCCATGAATGCCTGTCATTAGGGGCCCTATACCCGTGTTTGGACGTCCGGGATGGTCCTGAAATGTTTGAAACTGAAACATTCTAGGACCCTGCTTCTCAAAACCTCTAACTACGAAAACATTATTTTTGCAGAAACCTAGCCTTCAGCGCTTTTCTCTAGCCGAGGATACAGGTTCCCCTTTGCGTGAGAACTTCGAAGAAGTCGTGGATGCCGAGCAGCCACGAGCGATCTCGGCTGCAGTCCCTGGTTTAGGGTCTCGAGTTCATAGATCCCCACCTTAGTAATCTAAGTATTGAATGAGATTCCTTTACAAGAACCCAGGTGTTGCTGGTTTGGGCTTTGCGGTCGGTGCTCAGAGCTAATCATGTCACGCGGGGCGTTTGGATGCAAAGATAGGATAGGACTTTGGGTCTTGAAGATCCACACAACCCAACCTTTTTTCAGTGTTTCTGAGCTCCAGCTGCTGGCTCGTCGAGCCAGCTGTGACGGTTTTCTGAGAGTGTGGTCGCAGTAGAGCCGCGTCGTTGCTTCGTTGTGTCCTGGCCCGGCAACGCCGAGCAAGAGAGTCGGGCCCCAAACCCTCTCCAGTGGAGACCTGAAGCCGGGAGAGAGAGGGCTTACACCTGGAGCAAGCAAGAGGGAAAGGGAGAGAGAGAGAGAGCGCCAGAGTTGAGAGCTTCAATCTCAGGTCAAAGGCTCAGAGATGGTCATGAATTTGATCGTCGGAGGACTGAGGGTTGTGATTTGCCTGTGCCTGGCAGATAGTCCTAAGATAGCCCCGGGTTGAAACAAAGGCTGGGGGTGGTCCAGCTCATGATTCCAGCAACCTGCCAGTGAGAGCCATCATTGAGGCGTGGGTAGCATAGGTCAGCACGGCGAGCCACGCACAGCAATTTCAACAATCATCATCATCACCATCACCATCATCATCACTTCACAACGACAATAAGGATATTGAACATATCAACTTCTGTAGTTGTAATGTATGGTACTCATGATCATAAGCATTGCTGATACCAGTAGCAAACCCCTGTATGCGAGCGAGGACTGGGCACCGGCATGCTGAGCCTCCCCTGGGCCATGGCGGGCGCTTCGGTGACCGTCGGGGTTGCTATCATTGTGCCACTGGGCGCAGCGAGTCAGTGCAGACACCGCCATGGCCCCGAAGACCCAGCTAAGCCAGGATTCTTGAAAGCCCCACCCTCTGGCCGAACACCGTGTATGTACGTACACACATACACACACACATACATACATACATACATACATACATACATACATACATACATACATCCTAACTACATACATACTAACTACATACATACTACATACATACATACATACATACATACATACATACATTCGTACATTCATACATTCGTACATTCGTACATACATACATACATACATACATACATACATACATACACAAACACACACGCATATATATATATATACATATGTATATGTATATTACACACACGTGTGTGTAGATGTAGATGTGTATGCGTATATACACATAGATAGATAGATAGATAGATAGATAGATAGATAGGCGGGTAGATAGAGAGACAGATAGACAGAAAAAATGTTAGATTGGTGGATAGATAGATAGACAGATAGATAGGGCCCATTTGGAGGCCTTAAGCTCCACAGCTCCACGCAGACATGCATCCGACTGCGAGGTTGGTCGTTGCTGTGCTACTTGGCTGTTGTCTACGCCTTTGGGGAGATGGGATTCCTGGGTGGCGCAGTGCAGGGTTTCTACCGATTCCGGGCCAGCCGAGGAACATTTGGACCATTATGATCCTCGTCGTTGGTGCAGAAAGGTGTGCGACCAAGCCTTGCAACCCATGGGGTATTTGGACGCCTGATCCCCTGACAGACTGGATATCGAGGTACCAGGTCTACGATTTGGGAGCCCTGCTGGGGAAACTTCCTGGTCATCTGGGCCCAGGCATGCAGCGCCTGGGACGACTACATTTAGGCTTCAAAGTATTAGAGTTCTTAGAGTAGATAAGATTATATATGACAGGGAGTGTTGGGAAGGTGCGTTTCATGGAGGTTCAGGGTTCGACGAGCGCCCAAGGTACCTATCGCGGGTCATACCATCTTTGCCTTACCCGAAGCGACAAATCTCGCAGTTGTGAGTCAGCATTTTCCGCTGCAGAAGACACGGTGAAAGACACTCTTTTCTCACATGGCATTCGTCACTTCCTCTGAATCTGAAGTCAAATTGAGCACGATCTAAGCGAGTTGAATCAAGCTCCACGAAGCCATCATTGGCGGGCTTTAAAGTTTACTTTAAACCTTATGGAGATGTCCATTTCCGCCACTGAAATGAAAGATACATCGAGTCTTTGTTTCTTCAAGTCGCTCTTGGGGATCAGTTTCGTCTTATCCATCCTGGCCCGATCCACAGGGACTGTATCAACTCGAAGCCGGAGCCTGCTCTGCCGAGCTCAGGATCTTCACGAATCTCATGGTGTGGGTCGTCCTTTTTGGCTCGCTCGTCAGCTACATCATCAGCATCTGCGACTCTGCGCAACCCTTCATTGCGGGGACCTTCCTGGAGAAGCGCCCCTCGCTCGGACTAGGATGTTCGGGCGGCAAGGTTCCATAAGAAGTAGGAGAGCTTTAGGGAAGAAGGTTTGGCTTTGGGGTTTCAGGGCCTGGAGCTCTCGATTGCAGCAGCCCTGATCGCAGAAGTAGTGCTGGGATTAGGCTTTCGGGTGTAGGATTTAGGGATCTAGGGTTTTGGGTTTTGGGTTCCGCTGGGCTTTCAACAACGCCCAAAAAAGGCAGCTGAAAATTATTGAGTCGTAAAGGGATGCCAGTGCCCACAAAATCTGAAAGCCCTTTTATCAATTGCTCCCAAAAGAAATTGAACCCTGAAGCCCTAAAGCCCTACAAAACCCTGGAAGCCCGCACCCTAAAGCCCTGAACCATAAAACCTAAGACTCTGAAGAAGCCCCAAAGCCCCTCAACCCAGGAAGCCCAACCCCCCCCCCCCCAGAGCAGATTACTCTGCTTCCTTGTTCTTGTTGCTGTTATTGTAGGATGGGCCTTGGCCGGCTTGGCTTCGATCTTGGTTCTGGCGCTTTGCTTCCTGGATCAGAAGTATCTGTCCTTTTCGCTGCTCGGCAGAACCCTTGGGGTTCAGGGTTTTGCTCAGGATCAAGGGCATTGGCCTTATAAGGTCTTGTTTTGGGTTTAGGGTTTCCGCTGATGCTTGTGTCAGGGGTGTAAAAGACGATGTAGGGGTTCAGGATGTAGGGATCCGGCGCAACTCTTCGTTTGTTTGGTCGAGGCTTTGTGGGTGCATCTTGACAGTCACGCGAACCCTAAAACCTGCAAGCCCCCAAACAAGCTAGATTTGTAAAACCCTGAAGCCTCTACAACCCCTTCGAGCCCTAAACCCCAAACCTTTACAACCCCTTCAAAGCCTAAACCCTAAACCCTCAGCTCAACCAGTCATGCTCTTGGTTGCTACGGCCTTGGCCAAGGTCTGCCGCGGCGATCCTTGTCAACATGCTACTTGGCTGAGGATCTTAGGGCTTTAGAGATTAGAGTTCACGGTTCTCCGGAGTGTTGCGGGCTAGAGTCGGCTAGAACTTCACAATTAATCATGGCACTTTGGTCCAGCAGTTCGCGGTTTACGTTCTTGGGGTGCGACTACTTATTGCAGGAATTCAGGGTTAGGACGTGCGAGTGAAAAGCTACCATGCCATAGGGGCTTTAATACTTTCAGACACTATTTAGGGGGCTCCTTATGATACTTGCAGTATTACATACGCCTAAACCCTATTCCAATTATCAAGGCCCCGAAACTATCCATCCGAGGTATTTGTTGGGATTGGTTTGCTCCGAGTACGGGAAGCGTGCCGCTCATGGTGAGCTGGCGGCCGGCGTTTGTGCCTTTGGATTTGCAAAGGCGCCTTCAACAAAAACGTGCACTCGAAGACTCTGTCGGTCGCATGGTTGCCTTGGAACGGCCCAGAACACTGAATCGACCCTGCCTTGCTACAAGCTACCCTAAACCCGACCAAATATGTTGAGATTCTTGGGCATGTGTAGCGGCAGGGATCCGTGACGATGGTGAGCACGATGATGCAGAGCGTCATCATCCAGCACCTAGAGCTGCAATTCCCAAGCACTGGCTCTGAGAATGCCTTGACTAGAACTCCCATTACCCATACTGGTGGTTCGTGCCCCTTAATTAAACCCGTTCGAAGAATCCCTATAAAGCCAGCTGCCTAGGTTCGTCCTAGCCAGGCGGGAGGCAAAAAATGCTTTGGCTTGGCGTGTTTATACCTGCATGCCCATGGTATAGCAATGGGGGAATACTTCTTCCCTCCAGCGGGGCAGCACCGAACCTGCAAGGATGTGCGTGCTGCCGATGTACAAGGAGCTGGAGAACAGATCGCCGAGGAGGTTTGGAAGGCCAAGCTCGAATCCGAACAAAAAAGGACAATCCTTAGGCCATGAACCCTTGAAGACGTTCACTTGCAACGCACAAGCTGCATCTAAATGGGCAATCCGCACCGGCCTTGCACCGGAGTTCAAAAAGCTTGCCTTTGCGAAAGGCTGCTGACTGTTGCTTTCTCCGTGCTGGCATTGATCTTTGTCATTCTGGCCATGGCGGGGTACTATACCTTTGGACCATCGGCATCTGGGCCGTGGTGCTAACATTCATTTTGCGTCTGAGATGAACTGTTCAGGCCTTCAGCATCTTCGCAACAGTCATAAAATCGCCCATTCCTTGTCCAAGTCTTCTGGAGTGCCTAGGTCTTCAGTCCCACCGTCTAGCGAGATGTAGTGCTCTGAGCTGCCATCGAGCGAAGGTGGAGTCGAACCTCCTGTCCTCCCTGCCACGGACCACCGCCAACAACGTGCCGGGCCTCAGTGCGACAAGAAGATATAGTTTAATGAAGAATCGATACTTGTTGCAGCAGCTTACAGGGCTGTTGGCACTACGTTGGTTTAATCTTAGGTTCAATGTTGCACCGGGTTTGGTGTCCCTCCGAGACAGCATGTCCCGGCGCCCTGTCGCACGGCTCCGCCGCCGGCCCCTGCCCCGGCAGTAGACTTGTGCAGTATAGCAGCAGCAGCAGCAGCAGTAGTAGCAGTAGTAGTAGTAGTAGTAGCAGTAGTAGTAGTAGTAGTAGTAGTAGTACTAGTACTAGTAGTGATAGTAGTGGTAGTGGTAGTGGTAGTGGTAGTGGTAGTGGTAG